TGTAGGGGAATTTGCACTCTGGTACAGAATACAAATTTTAGGTACCAATTATTCCTTCATCATCAAGAGCTTGACAGTTTCAGAAAATGCAACATGTTTTGTTGCATTGTTGTTGTCACATCCCTCTCAAATCAATCTCACCTGATCATTAGGAGAGCACCTTACAGCTATTGAAGACGAGCGTTCAATAATTCTTTCAGGTAATAGAAAAAGAAATCACGCCTAGGTAAAGGCAGGTAAAGGCTTCATGAAATATTATCTTAAAGGGACCCTCCCACCTTCAAAAAAGTTAATGAATTGGCATGAAAGTGATGTCACTCGGTTCAGAAAGAGCAAAAACGAATATCTACCAAATTTCATCCAAAAATATTCACCGGTTTCCACGATATTAGACTTTTACTTTTGTTTACTTTTTGGGATCTCCGCTGTTCCTAGCGACTTTATTTGAAAGTGAGGCATTTGTTGCGCGCAAAGCAGCGTATAACACCGCGTGCTACAAAACGTTTTAGTCAAACATTTAACGGACGTTCGAAAGCCTGATGACGTCATCAGATTCCCGTAATGGTTAAGAGATAGGGACCACGCTGGTCCCACCCTGCAAGTAAAGGGAAGAAATTTCTTGAACACCATAAAGCTGCGGGGGTTGCGACCAGGATAAATGGTGGTTTCTGAGCCTGGCCGCAAACTTGGCTATCTCAACTCAAAACTAATGTTAAGGTGGGAGGGTCCCTTTAAATAACTCTTAGATGTATTTCTGGATTTTCGGCAAGTCCAATTACATAATATAAAACTGGCGCTTTATGTTCTAACTTGTGTGTGAGTGACCGCTAACAGAAAATGCTGATCAACGAAGCCAATTAGATAATAAGTGAGCATGAACCTTACCAACGGTTAATTCATATGATGGTGAAAACCCTGAACACGTAATTCACATGACGGTGAAAACCTTGAACACAATATTTCTTACGCGAGCTGTTGACTTTACTAATAAAATGACGTCTTCTTCTGAAAATGTAAAAATTTGATGAATAATTTTTGTTTGAGAGCAAGTTTTTGACTTTTTACTATTATTTTATATAAATTTTAATTTTAATGGCTGTTAATAGTGACACAAAACAATTTATTGCCACTTCTTTGCTATTAACGTCATTAACAACTCAGGTAAAATTTTTGATTGAAAGAGGCAATTGTGGCTCGCACGTCCTTGGGGATTTGAGCGAAGATCATTTTCGGAGTAACTGCCCCCTGCTCGGGTATGGCACTAGGCCGACCGAGCAAAAAAAAAAAAAAAAATTGAAAAATCAAAATAGATGAATGTTTTTCTCCAGGTTGTTCTCCAGGTTGTTCTCCAGGTTTCTCAGGTTTTCTTTCTTGGATGCTCACTAGTGTTTTGATGCCTTGCATATCAAATTAGTTTGAGACTTGTGTATTGTGTATTGTGTATTGTGCCAAGCCAACCACAGACCCAGCGGCCCATTTACAGTGGCAGTCATGCCCATAAAATACAAAAAAAAAAACACTACATACTACTACAAAGCACGATACGTTGTCTCAGATGTAAGCACCCTGAGAACGAGCGAAATCACACACATCAGAATGGATGCAGTTCGACGGGGCCAACATATCTGCATTCGGAATTTTCTGTAGAAAATTGTTGCATAGCACAGGAATGCGAATGAAAAGTCCCGACTTTACAGTGCTCACTCTGCCGAATGCGACATGAAACAGTGCTGGCTGCCGAGAACGTCTGTTAGGGACCGCCAGACCAAACAGACTCAGAAGGTGAGGACAGTCGATCCGTCCATGGTGCAATCCCAAAACCAGGCGGAGATCGGCTTGAATAAAGCGCAATTTAAAAGACAGACTTGCTCAGAAGGCTGCTTCAAGCCTGGCATATCACACCCCAGAAAATATGCAAGGTAAGAAAGAAGCAAGAGTTTTGACTAGACAATCACTGTTTGACAGTCCATCAACTTCAGTTTCATTTTCCATACCTAACATTGATAATGAAAACCATCAGGGTCTGTTGTTCTGTCCCACAACCATGCTTCAGGATTTGGCATTAGATGTCTACACTGCTAGTGCTTCTATTCTGGTTCGTTGTTAATGTTTTATACAATACAATACAATACAATACAATACAATTTTATTCTGTTGATATAGGTACCTACCTACCCATCTTTCTTAACCCCTTGTAAGGGCTTGTGTAGGCATGCGATGCGCATCAGGCTTCAGGCCTTCGGCCTAAAGCCAGATGCACAACCACTTAACCTATGATGCTTCATGAGCTTGAGAATCTATAGCCCATTGCAATGTGCTTTTGGCTATATGTTTCAACTAAAAACAACATATTATATACTATTTGGTTGCACTTCATTGAAAGTATCCACGGCCGGCTGACGGCTGGCTGCCCACAGTTTGCCACGGCTGTGGGCGGCTGTGGCTGTGGAGCCACGGCTGCGGGGCGGCTAGGCTGTGGAAAATTGCAGCCGTGCAGAACTCTACTTTCTCCCGTCCCGACGGCCCCTCCGGGCGGGGTCCTCCGCCGGCCAGCCGGCGTCTCCGCGGCCCGCGCTGTGTCATCGCTGTCCGCCGCACCGGGAGTCGAACCAACAGGCCGCACATCCTCCCCGGGGCCAGCTCGCTCGAATTTCGCGCAAAAAGCCAGTCGGCGACGAGCGCCACCTGCCAGCTACGCGTCGTTTTTGTCACAGGCGCGTGTAAAACAAGGCGCGCCGCCGGCCGCGTGTCGTCAGCCGCGACGCCGGCGACATTTGGGATACAGGTGACGGCATCCTGGAGCGGGGCGGAAACTGCAGTCATGGACATGACTAGACTATCTCGGAGTGCCAGGCCCTGCCGGCATGTGTCGCCGGTCGAGTAAGAGCGGTGACAACGGGGAGAATGGTTTCAATTCCATGCCTTCAGTCGCGCATTCAGACACGACATCCATTGCTATATAGAGAAAAAAATAGCACCAAGTCATTGCCTTCCATCCTCTTGCCGACAAAGGTAGGATAATCCGTCCTGCTGGTCTTATCCGTTCCTGGAAAATATCCCAACCTCATGCAATCGCGCTGTTTCGCCCCACCACGGGTCGTCACCAAAAAACCCTTTCTAGAGGCAGCTGGGCAGCGGGCAATCTGACCCGGCTGGCCTCTCCTCTTCCGCCCCGCGCCCCGCCCCGGGTCGACCCCAAACGGCCCCGAATATCCTCCCGTCCTATCCGGCAGAAGCCTGATTACCTTTGCACTTATCGCAAATGATTCCGCTCTGGAGAATGATGAATGTGATGCCGCGTCAATGGAAGCTAATAACGTTATTGCCCCCCATTCCGAGAGGCAGACGCCTCGCCCGTTCTCCCGCCCGCTCTCAGGCTCGCTCTGGGCCGACAGAATAAGCTGCTTCTGTTGAGAGCAAGCAGCCGTCTGAGCTGTGCGGCGCCAAGCTGCACATCAAAACACCCTTTGCCTAGACTGCCTCAAATAGTAAATTAACGTCTTTGCAAAACGTTGCATAGCGTCAAGTATCCCAGCAAAAGGAATTCACGATGTTTTGGGGAAGATGAATGCCGATAATTAAATAACCTTTCAATGTCCAATGCCGTTTTCATTCCAAACACATCTAGCTATATCTAGCCCAACACATCTGTCTTAGACTGGTCATCTTTTGTTCGGAATTGCCGTCAACAGAATAATTATCTAAGTCCGTCTTTTATTTAGCGTGCTTTTATCGACGACTCTATATGGCGCAGGACCAGGTATATACAATATACATACCATTTCTAATCCAATACTTACTAGGTGACGCATATGAGGCAATCAATCTCCATTTGACCAAATTGCAGCTTTTAGAACCCTGCAAGTATGCAAGGCATTCCCGAGGCTGACCATTGCCGCAGCTCGGTCCGTATTGAGCCGCCCAGTACCGACAAATGATCCCCATGTCAGTCAACGACTGCATGTCGGGCCGCCACCTGTCGGGAGCGCCGACAGCATCACGGACCAACCGTCCCGTCGGCCGCCGGTACTTCACGCTGCGTCAATAATCAATGACAGAGCGGCGGCCGGCGGCGACGGCCCAGGGCGCACACCACCCGGCCAATTGCATTTCCCCCGATCACACTTGCCCGCCGGTCGGCGGCGGCGGTGGAAGACACGCTCAGCTTCATCGACAGGGCATCGATTCCGGGGGCGCAGCCGAACCGCCGACTTCCGCCGTAAATTGGCCGCCTACGTGGCCACCATATGATGGCGCCGATTAGCAGCGAACGAGCGGTGCCGCCGGCCCGGCCGACCGAATCAGAGAGCGGGCCTTGATGAGACGGGGGCCAACCGACACGCCGCTCTGCGGCCGGTTATTACGGCCAACCGGGTCGGCTTGGTCGCGTCAGGTCAGGTCGGGTCAAGTGAGCAGACACATGTAGCCGTTTTCACGACGGGCTATCCGGCGAATGCACCTGATTTGACCAAATCTGCACCTAATTTCTTTTACAGCAAATATCTTCATTTTATGAATTTATTTCAGGGTTTTAATCGATGATGCTCTCTGATAATATGACAAAGCAGGCATATAAGCAATTAGTGCAACCCTAGCTGATAGCTGCTAAGAGACACACTGAACCTGATTTGACCAAATCTGCACCTAACCTGTACCAGATGTGCACCAAATGTGTACTAGATGGCCGTCGTGAAAACGGCTTGTAGCCAATCAATACACGCAAAGGGTTAATTCAATAACTGGTAAAGAAAATACTATCGCAAAACATTTGATCATATCTTAGCGTCACCAATCAAAGCAGATACAAAAATAATTACTTTTCGCTTTTTTATAATATCGGCTAGTGTTAACATTACTGCAAGTAAATGAGCACAGAAAACATAATGAATTATATGCCTAAACCAGCCACCCAAAGGCTAAGTTACGTCCCAATATTATCCTATTGGGTTGGCACAATAGTCAAGAATATTAATGAATTACACCCTTTTCAGGGGACTGACCTTGGCATTCAGAACGCTGTGCGTTGCAAGTTCTACACGGGCGAAGTTGCCTTTGCCAAGAACTTCATTATCCAAACGGTACCTTCCCAAAGCCTGTAGTTTCATGATCCACGATTAGAATCAATGGTTGATAAATAAATATAACACTTATAATATAACCCAATCAATAGTTTGACAAAAAAGATCAACTGCCTCGTAGTGATTTCCGAACGAATATGTTATGTAGGATAATCACTAAGCTTGAAAATAGCATCTTTTGCAAATATACGAAAGAAAAACTGCAACAAAGCATGGTTGACTGAGTTGACGGTTGGCAGCATGATCTTTATGCGTCAACTGTCAACCAATTATCGGATTGTCAAATGAGTCACAAGTATTTTACCAAACACTGGTTTCATGGTGGAACACACAATGATCCTCCATGTAAAGGTTACATCTTATTTCACAAAAAGAGTTTTTCAATCTCGAATGGCCTCTACCTCGATTATTTCTGAAAATGAAACAAAATATGAACATGAAATTGGTTGAATTTAGCAAATTTTCGTGTATGCAGTCCACAGTCATTGCACGTTAATTTCTTATTACATTTTTCATTTGATATGGCCAAAAGATGATTCGTTTCAAAATCGTGACAAGTATGATATGGCATGACGATCTTGTGCTCACATCTGAAAAGGAGCTGGAAAGCAACATCGCTGGATTTTGTTTTTCGATCCCATTTTAGGCATAAGCACAAGGAACATTATCATCCATGCTTGTCAGAATCTTAACCCGCGCCGGGCCGGTGCTCCGAGATTCCGCGCCGGGCCGGGGAATCTGAACACCCCCCTTCTAACTCGGCTTCTGGGCCACGTAGCGACATGCGGTAAGCAGCAATCGAAAGAAGATCCAAAATAAGGACGAAAACACTTCGGTCATTTTTTGGGTCATGTCAAAGGTCAGTTCACCAGAGGTCACCAAAGGTAAAAGGTTGACTATTTCAACATTTTGGAAACTGCCGACGGCTATCTCGGGAACCGATAGAGCTACAGCGCCGCAGAAAAGCAAATTCGATAGCCCTTTTACAGACCTTCCTGATTAATGTTCTCAAATTTGACCTCAGGCCAACGGTTTAGCCTCCAGAGGGTAAAAACTCCAAAAATAGCCATTTTACATGTTTTTCGGCAATAACTTTTGACTCCAAAGAGCCATGACATTACTTTTGCCAGCATCGTGTTCTTCTCGTCAAGACGCGTTGAATGAACTAGAATTTGACCTTGAAAGGTTAACATGAAAATTTGACCTCAGGTCAAGGTCATGACCTGACCGGAAAAGGTCATGTTGCATACCAGTCGATCCGCAACGTCGAGCTGAACACATCTAACGCGTTTTCAGCGCTCCAGCACGCCTCTATCAGAAGTTTAGCGAAAAACTGTTAGATTCTGTTCGTGACCTGAGATGACCTCGGGGACATAACGAGGGGTCACAGTTGCCATTTTCCGGTTCAGTGTGTCAATTTGACCTACATCTTGATGTTTGAGAGTGTCTAGAATAGCAGTCGTGCAAAACAGACGCTTTTTCAATTTTCTCCCATTGACTAATAACGGAGAGGCTGCAAAATTGATCTGACCTTAGGTCACCGATATCACAATTCCGAGATAAACATTTTATAGATAATGTTGCTCTAATAAATCGCTGAAAGTTTCAAGGCAATGGATCAGTCGGTGTAGCTCTATGACGAGCATTCTTATTTTTTTCTGAGGTGAGGTCACTTGGCGTAACCCGGTGACCTGATCTAAGGCGACCTGGGTCTGAAATTTTCGCAACATGTGCGGAAAAGATGCACGAACAGGTGTGCCAAAAACGGTGGCGCTCCGCGCGGCCGTTTTTGAAATATCTGCGAAAAAACGCAGGGGGTGTTCACCCCCCCCCCCCCGGCTCGGCGCGGGTTACCCATAGCAATGCTCAAAATACCGTTTCAAGCCATCCAAACTTAGCGAAATGGTACCAGTAACATCTTTTTAAATAGCATTACGAATGATTTTGTTTTAGCAAATGTTTCGAAAACAACTCAGGAGTAATGGTCCCCTGGTATCAAATATCATTGAACTATATATCCACCACCCTGCCGCCTTTAGTTTTCTAGTCCCCAATTCGCTCTCGCCTCCCTTATCCTTGCTGCCTTCCTGCGTTACTCCAAGAAACCGCACAGTACCTACAAAATAAGGCATACCTATAGTGAATACCGTCTTTCCCTTCAGTTATGCCATGCGTCGATGCCACCGACAGCGGACGCGTCTAATCGGCTCTGTTGTCACAGGAAAGCCGCTCAATAGCCTTTCATTTGCATATATTAGCCCGGTCAGAGAGACTCGCGTGGACAGCCTGCCGGACGGGGCTGGGGGGATCCAGAGCGTCGTAAGCCTCGTCGTAGCTGCGACGTGTCGCAAGTTGTGTAGTAAGTCGTTTTTGAAGGGATCAATTGATGAGTAGCGTTACTTAAGTAGTAAAGTCTATCGCAAATAGCCTGATTTGCGACACAACTTACGAATTTGAAATAGCAGTCGTAAGTTGTGTCGCAAGTTGACCTTGCCTTGAGGAAGAGGTCACAGGTCACAGGTCATTCGGGTCATGGTCACGAAATTTACATGGTAGGTGTAAAATTGTTTAAACTTTAGATCCTGAAAATTTGGTTGCAATCCGTTGACGCTAACGCGAGTTATAGAGCTTGAACTGACGGGTCGTCTATGAGGCCTCAATCGGTGCCAGCGAGAGTGTTGAAAATGGTGCATAGTATGTTATATTCACATTTATTGGGGTATTCGGGGATATGAAGTAGCCTAACACCATTCCAGCAACTACTGGCGAATCCAGAAAGGCGGTCTTGGACGTTGCAAGGGGCATCTCCCAAAATATTCTCCCAATTCCAAAAACGACGTGTCCCAGCTGACCCCGATGACCTCCAATGAGCTCTGTGATGACCCCAAGTTGACCTTTTTGACCTGGCCTGTCCCAGATGACCTCCGTGACATCCTATTGAGCTCTCTGATGACTTCAAGCTGACCTCTGTGACCTGACGTGTCCCAGATGACCCCCATGACCTCCAATAGAGCTATGTGATGACCCCAACATGACCTTTGTGACCTGACGTGTCCCAGATGACCTCCGTGACCTCCAATTGAGCTCTCTGATGACTCCAAGCTGACCTCTGTGACCTGACGTGTCCCAGATGACCTCCATTTGAGCTCTGTGATGACCCCAACTTGACCTCTGTGACCTGGCGTGTCCCATATGACCTCTGTAACCTCTAAGTGACCTCTATGATGACCCCAAGCTAACCTCTGTGACCTGACGTGTCCCAGATGACCCTCATGACCTCCAATAGAGCTCTGTGATGACCCCAAGTTGACCTCTGTTACCTGACGTGTCCCAGATGACCTCCGTGACCTCCAATTGAGCTCTCTAGTGACCTCAAGCTGACCTCTGTGACCTGACGTGTCCCATATGACCTCCAATTGAGCTCTCTGATGACCTTTAGTTGACCTCTGTGACCTGACGTGTCCCATATGACCTCTGTGACCTCTAAGTGACCTCTCTGATGGCACCAAGCTGACCTCTGTGACCTGACGTGTCCCAGATGGCCCCAATGACCTTCAATTGAGCTCTGTGATGACCCTAAGTTGACCTCTGTGACTTGATGTGTCCCAGATGACCTCCGTGACCTCCAATTGAGCTCTGTGCTGACCCTAGGTTGACCTCTGTGACTTGACGTGCCCCCAAGTTGCCCTCTGTGACCTGACGTGTCTCAGATTACCTCCGTGGTCTCTAATTGAGCTCTGTGATGACCCCAAGTTGACCTCTGTGACCTGACGTGTCCCAGATGACCTCTGTAACGTCCAATTGTGACCTCCATCTACAAATTTCTTACCTCTCTGTGACCTCAAACTCTCGGAATTCATTTCTTCTAAAGCATCGATTCTAGATGCCCTATAGCCACGAATCTCCTGTGATCGATCCCAAATTTTATGGCAAATCACGTGAGCGTTAGCAACCACAAGTCACCCAGTTAATACAAAGCTTCAGAATCAGAGAACATGCTTGACCTTGCTGTCTCATAAGCTCGCAAACCAGAAAGGCGAATGTTCCTTTATGCGTGATAGAGTTTTCGACCTTACTGACGTTTACTACGGGATCAGCTGATCGTGTAGCCTTTTAAATTCTCGAGTAAAGCGGGTATTTAAGCCTCGTCGCAGCTACGTTCTGTCGTATCCTCCGACAAACCCCTCTTTCCTCAACATCCCTCCTTTTTCGCTACGACACAACTTGCGACGGGACATGTGTCGTAACTTGCGACGTGTCGTAGATGGACTTGCGACGCCCTGGATCCCCCCGGCCGGACAGTCATTCCAGACATCAGAAAGCTACTACGTAGGCTATTGACAAGAGGCATCTGTAGGCAATAGGACAGAGGACAATAGATATAGTGCTTATGCATCGTACATATGTAGACCACATCAGACAGTAACAGAACACGAATGTCTTTTATGTCTCAAGAATCACGCTGAAAATAAAATCAAATATAGCGGTGGTCTTCATCGAGCCAGCACATTAGCATCGAAGAAACTGCATCTCTTGCTGGCTTTTTGATTATCTGCATAAAAGCTTCAATCTTTTGCGCAATATTGAATTCGTCTTATTTATTGTCTAGTTACTGAATTTAGCAAGCATATTGGACCGGAGTTCCTGTTTTCTTATATACGTTGAGCCAAGGCTATCAGCTCACAAGGACCCCTGTCCACTTTTCACCAAGAGATATAGCAGTAGGCTGTGTTTACTTCAGAACCGCTCTTACGGCTCCCATTTCGTCCGAGGAACAGAACGAGCTCTCCTTCGTCGTCGATTGCGCGAGTCCCTCGGCTTTAGCTCGATTGCGTACGGAGCGCAGCGGTCAGCGGCGTTCGCAAACTCCCGCTACACGCTACGTCGAAAACACTAAAGCAGCCGTCAAACAAATAGCTTTATTGCCCATTCCATCAAGATAAGGGTTTTCAATTTGCGCTAGCCGCGGCCGGCCGCTGTTCTGGCCTGCCACGCGTCGGTTGGGCTGAGATGGCCGACACGGATAGAATGTTTATCGGTCAAAGTCATTACGGCTGCCAGATATATGGCTACCAGATGTACTTTTTCTTCTGCTCAGCGCCCCGGAGAACGCGTGCGGTACTGGCAAGACGCTGCGGCGCCCATTTTATCTCAGTTTTCCGATAAAAATGGCAACGCACTATAGCCAACAGCGCCACTTTCGGAAAGCGAGCCTGGAATCTGTATGTAGTTTTAAAAGCAGGGTGAAGTTAAAAAAGATTTGTTTCCCTGAAGTGTAAACG